AATACAAACTCTTTTAAGCGATATTTGAATTTCATTGGTGATTTAATGTGTAGATTTTTTACATAATGGCGAAAAATAAAATGTTCAAAAAACTGTATCCTATTAAAATAAAATCGTCCACAATAGAAGCAATCCTGATGGTATTTTCCAAGTTTGCGATTAGGCTGTTTTTCCTCCCTGAATTGCAACCGATCTGAAATCAAGAGAGCTATTTTAAAACTATATTTTAATTAAAACTAAATTTCGAAAATAATAAATTGCTAATAGACCATTCGCACAATACATGATACATTAACTTTAAAAGGTATACCATTCACGCAGTTTACACTTGCCAAACCTTAAATGATACATTAAAAACTAAGGAGATTGCTTTTGTCAGCAAATAATCTTTTGAATTATATATTAAAATGTCTAGGCTTTGAATTCAAAAGGGATGATACTTATCTGGTTTCATATATCGGCTTTTATCCCATTTAAAGAACATTAAAAATATATTAACGGTGTAGGTAACTATGATATGTGAGTAAAATGGATTTGACAGGAAAATAAAATGTCCTTTAAATGAATATTAAAGAACGTTTTCTTCTCTTTTCCTGACAAATAAAAAATATAACTGATTTATTTTTATTGATTCAGTATCTCATTATTTAAAAATGTAAACGCATAATTTAAGGAGGCAACGTTGTAGATGTTGATCGGCAATTTAGTAGTAAATAAGTAATAAGTAAATAGTAATAAGTAAATAAGGTTTCAGAAAGTGACAGGAATGGCGTTCGTTTATAGGAAAAGCAAGATCCAATGATATATAGTTATATAGATTGCTCATCCATAATTAAATCAGACGATGAAAAGCGGGTTTCTACTTAATTGTTGATTCTTTTTATTCTACTAGTATAAAGATGTTCCTCTAGATTTTCAACACTCAAAATTTTTGTTTCATGCTGTTGTTGCAGATCTACATGCAATTGATGTACTTGTTCAATTTTTGGCAAAGCTTTTTTTACTCAAATAATTGAAGTGAACAACATTGACTATTTTTATTTTGTCGTAGCATTTTTATATGAACTACCTTGAAATGAAAGGGACAAATATTGTCTGACTTTTTGAAATTTATGCCTATTGTACAACAATGAAATTTTAAAGTCATAAAATATTTATTTAGAAACTATTCACTAAGAATTGATAGTTCATAAATTTTAATAATTTTATTAATTTATTAAAGGAAAATTAGCATTATTCTTTCAAATTTAATACAAATAAAAATTATTTCATATATATCGTGGCTTGAAAAAACAATAGCGACTGCCGCATGTCTTATTTATTTTTTTTAACTTTTGCGACCACTTGAACAGCTTTTAATTGCAGTACTCCAGTACAAGTACTCGAATATTGCACTCTAAGTACATTTTAGGTACTCAGTACCCGATATCCGAGTACATTTTCAATAAAGTACTCGGCATTCGTACTCGTAGAATATCGGTACCCGCGTTAATCAACAGTCTGCGGAGAAATGCTCTGGCCGATGATATCTTTAAGAAATTAGTCATTACATAAAGAATTACACAAAAATTCTAAAAAGTATTTTTTAATGTTTTAAATATGCAAAAAGGAATCAAACGTAATGAAATAAACCAAACAATTAGGTTACTTCTCTATTCATTGGCTTACATTAAACTAGAGAATTATTCAAGGTAGTACGTTGACATTCAAAAAAGTAAAAATTAAACTATCACGTAAATTTTGGGTTTAAATAGACTGTCGATAGTTGATGGACTAGATAGTAAAAAGACTGTTGTTCAAAACTCTTACCGAAAGGCGAGACTCGTTTCGGGACTATTGGTGTAAAGTTTTGTGTACTAGATGTAAATATCTTTAAATTATATTAATATGTTGTTTTATTTTAAGACAATTAATTTATTGATTTCCATATAAATGCCAATTTTACGTCCCAAGTTTCATCTTATATTTATCATATTTTTTTTATATTTAGTAATTTATCAATAATCATTATTACAATATTTATTTTCATTTTAAATATAGATATGTTACTGTTCTAACACTTATTATTCTCTCCTCCCCTTTCCAAAACCAGTTATGAAATATTCCGAGCATTTGTGAACCCTCGGTGTTTCTACCTCTAAGAACTAGAAGAGCTTACAACTAGTTGCCAAGAACCACTCGACTATGCTATTAAAGGATTATTTTGTTTTTTATTTTAATTTTTTATTATTTTTATTTGCCACTAGTGAATGGATGTTCCTTCCGGACTCCCGGACCCTTTGGCTGGCGACATTGCTGTCTTCATCCCTTAATAGTATATTGATAACAGTAGTTAAAGACCTACCAGTTGTTACAAATGGGTCTTTAGACTTGTTGGTTGTTACATTTAGTAAGAACAGTGATCCTTTAGCCAACTGATTGTTACATCATCATGAAATTCAGTGAATCAATAATAAAAATGTTTATTCATTTAAAAAAATACAAATAAAAGGGATTTAAAAAGAAAATAAAAAAATATGTATAATAGGTGAATAAACATGAATAATTACAGAAGTAGGTATGTGATTTATTAAAAAATATTTAAATAATGAAAAATTTAAAATTTAAACAAGTGAAGTAAAATGTAAAAATATAAAAAGTAAAATGTATAATGGAGCAACTTTTTTTTTTTAAATAAAATTAATAAAATACACAAATAGGTACACGATTGCCATCATCGAGGAAATTTCAATTTTACAGTAAAGGTTAAAATAGTAGAAGTAAGACACAAATCCCTTTTTTATTATCATGCTAACTAGTTAGTTTTAATTATTTATAATATTATTTATTTAATTTATGATACTGTTAAAGAAATGTCTGCTATTATATTGGATTCAACTTATTTGTTTTAAAAGCTATATCTTTTAAATCTTGGATAAGTAATTCATATAGTCTAGATGCCAAATAATTGCTACATCTCAGTGGGTGAAGTGAATAAATATAGGTTGACAGGAATTAAAAGAAACTGTTCAATCCCTATGGAGTAAAAGTGTAATTTTAGTCCCTGAAAACTAGTTCCTAAACATAAAACCAGCCATATCTAGATTACACTTCCATAGACACAATTCGAATTTTACATTTTTTTTGTAAAATTATCATATCGTAGGAAAAATAAGGTACATCACTTTATCGAAAGTGATCTTTCACACTCGTAATGTAATATAGTCAGTATTTATTACACGACGACAGTAGTCGTGACATTTGATAATAGCAAGAGGCGTGCGTGAAAATGATCCTTTACATTATATGGTCACTTACATCCCAGTACAAGTAATACCACTAACTACAGTAGCAACAGCTTGCGTCGGTTCCTTTGATATCCAAGTAGTCAGATTTTTGACAGTTGACGTTTTTGTCGCTTATTTATACACTGAGAAAAGTAATTAAATCAAATTAAAATATCTTTATTGTACGAAGATTTACGTCTCATTGACAAAGGAAATAACATAGAGGAGGAAAATAATGGAAAATATAAAATTTAAAGATATAAACTTAAGAGTACAGTAATAAATAGATATAATAAAAAAGTAATAAAACAACAAGGATTAATAATAATTATAATAATAATAGTCACAACACAATAATAGTCATATTTTATCAATCAATTTCAGAAGACCATTCTCAAAAAACTTTCCAAGCAAATAATATGCTTTTCCTATAAGAAGTTTTGTACTTCCCGTCTAAATTTACAGGTATTTTCAATTCTTTTTAGACCTAAAGGTATATGATTAAATATATTTTTACTGTTATACAAAATGTTTGAGGGTGGTAGTGGGAATGGGAAGTGGAATACATTAAGTAGGTAATTTTTTATTTCTTAGAAACTGCATATTTTTTGCTAATATTATTGTGTAAATATGGTTTTCTTTTATAGTTTTACACCCTTCAGACCTCCCGTGCTACACCCTAACCCGTCTGTAGTCTGGCAGCACTGCAGCCTGCGGCTTATTGTACCACCATTTGAAGGTCCTACTACTTTCCCATTCACACCCTCATTCATTCCACGTCGTCGATGGTTAAACGCTAGTCGGATGAATCCCATGGTGACACGGCCCAGCGGTCACACATCCACGACGTGACCGGAGAGATCACGGCTTAACTGTTGCGAGTAAGTGGATGCACACTAAGCTCGCGGCTAGCCTCTCCGGCGTAAATATGGTTATTAAAGTATCTTTTTTTCCTACAACAAAAATATTTTACTCCGGGTCAGACTCAAACACAATATTGGCAACCCTAGTTTAACAAAAATATCACACAATAAATGAAACAAAACTAATTCTAAATATAATAAACATGCCTTAGAATACGCTTTATACAATTAACCACCAATAATCGATTGTCAATAATTTCGATTAGACCTCTACATGCTATAAAATAAAAAGACGGGATTTCTGTTATTTAAAAATGTTTGTAATCGTCCCATATTTTATTAAATATTGATTGGCAGCAGAAGATGGAATAGTGTTTCCGAAACATATGTAGTGCCTGTACTTAAATTTTATAAAAATAAAAACGACCGAATGTTATATGTACAATGAAACCTGGGTTTGCTTTTGTCAAGTCGACGGTTGATTTTGCTTACTAAGTGCAGATGGCGATCTAGTTAAGTTAAAATTGAATCGAGAATATGTCTATGTCTGCTAAAAAGTGATAATAAAGATGAAACCGGTCCAAGATTGACCTTAACCTTGGTAACCAAAATCAAAGGTAGAGTGGTGTTTTCATTTTCATTTGGATTTAATTCAATGTGGCACTAGCCAAAGGAGTAGTTATTTTTCTGAGGGAAACGATCGCTTGTATTTATGTGACACTAACTTTCAGTTTTATTTTAATTGATTTTTAAATGATTTTTTTAACAATTTAAGAGTGCCTCAATTGAGACTAATAAAATCATTAAAAAAAAATTGGTTTAAAATTCAATTCATTCATTATTATGGAAAGTTTATATCAAAGAAGGGAAGGTTGACTATTTAAAAATGGAATTTGGTAAGTGAACTTACAACCTAGTAATAATGTTGTTTTGGTCCTTATTTACAATTCTAAATCAGCACAAGATAATCAAAACACAATGCACCACAAAATAACTAACTTTCTTAAAAACTAAATAACTTTAACAAGCAATATAAACACGCTACAAGTCGTTGGGACTAAATTAATGTGATTTTCTATTTGTCCAAACCACTTTTGAAGTTGAATGCAACGCCAGTAGGCCTAATCTATGTTGTCGATTTTAGCACAAGCTTCTGGTGAACAACACTCCTGCATAAAGCATTATGTTTTCTCTTTTTCGTCATCGTCTTCTCCTTCAAGTTCTCAAGTTGTTCTGTCAAATGATATCTTCATCACCTACTGGAGTGTCAAGTTGTAAAATCTGTTCAGGCTCATTCTCACTTAAGTCATCAATGTTGTCAAATTCTGATGAATTCAAGCTTGCCTGTCCTTTACATTGACCATAAACTTTGGAGCACGGTATATTCACACTTTGCACTACAACTTTTTTTGCAATTACAGAAGATTGTATTTAATAGTTCATCTGGTATAGGTTTAATAGCGTTGATTTAGGCTCTATCATCTCGTAGTACCTTCTGGTAAAAAATATTTTCCTAGCCAACTACTGCACTGGTAGGTGAAAGAGATGACAATTTAACTGGTCTATAGGGACCGTGCGTCATGACTTTAACGCTAACTGGTGAAAAAAATTTGAACTTTATGGGGGGTATTTATTAATATTTTATATGGCATTTATTGTTTAATAATTATTAATTAAATAAAGTCGAATTATTTTCGTAATATCATTATCGAAAAAACTTGTTGCATCCGTGTGGATGTACGAACACATTACTTTGGAAACCTGGACTTCATTCAATAGTAAAGACATTTTATAAATTTTCACAGAGCAGAATTAGTGTCTCACGCCCAATGATATACATAATTACATTACATAGATTGCTTATCCATATGTAAATCAGACGACGAAAAGCGTATTTCACTGGGCAAAGTATTTTTTTTATCTAGCTTTGTATCAATTTTGAGCACTTAGTTGTAAAGAAATCATTTATAGAACCGGTTTTGAAATTAGAATCTTTAGTGTTTTCTTGTCATTAAGATTTTTACATATTTAAATGAACATTTTATATAAATATAATTTTACAGATAATTAATGGTTTATTCTGTTGATTAAAACTAATGTAGAATGTTACTATGAAATAAGTATGTCCAATTTGACAAAAATATCTTAGCCCTCTTTACAATTTATTAACTATTTCTCATTTATTACTAAAATAAACAAATCATAAATAATACATTACAAGTACTATCAAAAGAGATTGCAACAAACTTTAAAATATTAAAAATCCAGTAATTTTTGTAAATTTTTTAGTGACAGTACCATTAAACATTATTCAGAATAATAGATGTGTCCAATTACAACTCTTACCAAAGTTGTTTATATCTCATAATTATTGTATTGTTGTAATTTGTGAAAATTGTAAATAGGTTTAGATTCGTTTTAATAACATTAGCTCTGGCCAATTGATCTGAGATCAAGGCCATCATACAAAACACACACACATCTCATATCAAAGTTGTTTACATTTCCTTTTCAAAATTGTATTACATATTGCAATTATGTATTTTATGTAGTGTTATTTCTGAAATGAGAGTAGTCTAAAATTATTTATATCCATCTGTTTTAAAAATTGTTTAGATCTCTTAATATTATTTAACTACATGGAAACTCAACTTTCCAAATACATAATAACGTGTCTTGAAGTAAAACTTTAATTATTTTCTTTTTCTAAAGATTAAAATGCTGAAATTTTATATTAAAACACATTTGGGCTAGAACGGCTCTATTTAGTAAGCACTAGGAAATGCACATTGCAACCCGCTTTTCGTATTTTTTTATAGATGGGTGAGCAATCTATAATATGTATATCATTGGGCGTCTCATAAACGTCAGTGGATGAATGAGAAATGAGAATATTGAGAATGACATTTCAACTAACATATCCTTCCTCCATGCATAAAGCTAAAAAGAATTATTATTATTATTATTATTCTCAATCTTTTTTATTAATTTACATTTTTTAAATGTTATTGTAATACTTTTAAATTCAGTGTTACTAAATACCGATATTTTGACATTGGATACACTTGTTTAAGGTACAACTTTACAATTTATTGTTAATTAGCCATTTAAATCTTTTTGCTTAAAATGTATATACATGTCCAGATTTTAATAATGTTTTACATTTTATATCATTTTGACCATGTACTCGATTGTTTGGTATGGGCCGGTATCTATATTTAACTATATTTAATATTTTAAAAAATGTCCTTTATTATTTACTTGCAATGTTTACCCCATTTAATTCTAAAATTAAACACTAGAGAGGGCTAACTTCGGCAGTAGTGCTGCCTCTATATTTCACGCACGGTCCCTATTGAGCTTTATTGATTTTATTAAGTTTGAGTATCTGAATTGGTCAATGCTTACTTTCTCTTTTGGAGCATTATACAAAGCTAAAATGAAACGTATTCCGCTTTCAAATAATATATCTGGCTGGCAGTTTTCCTGGGCTGGAATGTTTCTTAAACATTTTCATAACTTGAAGGGGGTGGGTGGCTCAATGGTAGAGTCTCTGCCTGCGGATCCAAGGATCCCAGGTTCGAATCCCACCGTTAGCCGGAATTTTTTTATTTCATTTAATTATTTAAAATTAATTCTGATGCCATGGTAGGATTCCTCACTCGACCATTCACTGTTGGGTTCTAATTAACAGTACTGTTCCTGAAGTGGCGCTGGGAAACAGTAACAAAGTCTACACAGAACAGACATGATTGAGAATTTAAAAACACAAACTTGAGACTGGCATATTAGGTATATACAGCTAGGCCATAAAATGAAAAAAAAAAATGACTTGAAGCTTCCCTTTGTTGCACAGCGAAGACGTAGAGTATCGCATCCCGTGAAAGCATAAAAAACAAAATATGTTTTTTGCAAAAAGGATATGTTTTACAACTTTCAGATGAACACATTCGTGTTTGTGTAGCACCCTTGCCAATTTTCTTTAAGAAAATTTGTCGCTTGTGTAATTGATTTTGTTCTAATAGAGGAACAAACAGATCAATGTCTTCTCAAAAGATGACGGTGGTCCTTTCTTGTTTCCGATACTTCATGGCTGTTTCTATGATTAGACCGTCCGCATTATCTTTAGCTTGTTTTGTAGCGATGTTAACAGGGCAGTTGTTCAATATTCAAATAAACAGATTTTTAACTTAATTATTGAAGGAAATATAATTTCGAATAATAATTGATTAAGATAAACGCATTATACTAGTTGCTCCGCAGTATATATAAGTAGTATTATCTATTAAAAAAATGCTAACTCCCCACTCTCACGCTATACCTCGAAAACTGTTGGCCCTACGAAAAAATGTACATGACCAAACTTGTAGAAAAGACTCTTTTACGCAAGATTTGTAATATAATAACCTCTACAGACGTCATGCAGTCGTATCGGAAATGAAAAAATGATTTTCGTGACCTTCAATATCTCGGGTAGCACAAAGGTAGGCATATGTGAGACTTTGGTGCTTTATTAGAACCCCAAAACGAAGGTCTTCGGAAAAATTCAGCTGGCTATCTCCCATTCCGCAGATCGAGTCTTATTTTAGCTTAAATGACTGCAATATAAACTGTTTCGAGCTTATTTTACACTTGATATCAATTGGACAAAAACATTTTAGCTATATAACAAAATACAAAATATGTTGCCATCTTATCTGAAAATCATATTAAAAAAAAATTTTGAAAATAAAATTATTTTTTACATTATTGATTCGTCTTAATGTACTTGTTCCTTTCTATTCTTTATGATTTTTTTCTTTTTTATTTGCTAAGAAAATATATACTTATATAAAATCAGGCCAACTAAACAATTTAATTAATTCGTAAGTAAATAATAGAACAATACTATATATTCTCATAGACAAGCTCTTTAATGGCCTTATTTGAGATTTTCTTTGTTTGTTTGTTTGCTAGTTATAACTGAATTGTTAAATCTGACATATAGGATTATTCTCAGTATTTATATTAAGTATTTATCTTAATTGTTAATTAATTATTATTCTATTTGTCAGTGATGTAAAATTATTCAAATAAAAAAATATTTGTCAAATTATGTTTATAAGGAACTGTCAACTTTTACTAACTTTCAATGATTCTAAAATATATCTATGTAGTTCCAAATTTCTAGATTGTTAATTTGCTGCAGTGTTTTAACTCAATCCTGATTTTCTACAGTGTGAGTCATTAAGTGACCATTTAAAGAGCTTCTATGTCTAAACAGTTTCGGACATATTGTACATGTAAATGGTTTTTCTCCATTGTGAATTCTTAAGTGAGTTTTCAAAACTGATTGCTGACCAAACTGTTTCGAACATATTGCACACTTGAACGGTTTCGTTTTAGTGTGAATTTTTAGGTGTTCATTTAAATGGGATCTCTGGGTAAAGTTTTTCGAACATATTTCACACTTGAAAGGTCTTTCTCCCGTATGAACTGATAGGTGTACATTTAAATGAAGTTTATGTCTAAACTGTTTTGAACATATTTCACACTTGAATGGTTTCTCGCCAGTGTGAGTCATAAAGTGACCATTTAAAGTGTTTTTATGCCTAAACTGTTTCAAACATATTGTACACTTGAACGTTTTTTCTCCAGTGTGAATTATTGAGTGTGTTTTCAAATTAGATTTATTGATAAATTGTTTCGAACATATTTCACACTTAAACATTTTTTCTCCAGTGTGAATTTTTAAGTGTTCAATTAAATGATATTTCTTCCAAAGGTGTTTCGAACATATTTCACACCTGAACTTTTTTTCTTCAGTGTGAATTTTTAGGTGTAGATTTAAATAGGATTTCTGGTTAAATTGTTTCGAACATATTTCACATTTGAACGGTTTTTCTCCTGTGTGCGTCATTAAGTGACTGTTTAAAGTGTGTTTATGCCCAAACTGTTTTGAACATATTGTACACTTTAACGATTTTTCTACATTATGAACGATTAAATTGTGAATTATTAAGTGCTTTTTCAAATTAGGTTTACTGGTAAACTGTCTCGAACATATTGCACACTTAAACGGTTTTTCTCCAGTATGAATTTTTTGGTGGACATTTAAATGGGATTTCTGCCTAAACTGTTTCGAACATATTTCACATTGGAACGGTCTTTCTCCAGTGTGCATTTTTAAGTGGTTTTCGCAATGGGATTTATGCCTAAACTGTGTCGAACATATTTCGCAATTGAACGGTTTTTCACCAGTGTGAGTCATTAAGTGACTATTCAAAGTGTTTTTATGCCTAAACTGTTTCGAGCATATTGTGCACTTAAATGTTTTTTCTACAGTGTGAATTATTAAGTGTGTTTTCAAATTAGATTTATTGATAAAATGTTTCGAACATATTTCACACTTGAAATTTTTTTCTCCAGTGTGAATTTTTAGGTGTTCAATTAAATGGGATTTCTGCCTAAGCTGTTTCGCACATATTTCACACTGAAACGGTTTTTCACCAGTGTGAATTTTTAGATGTAAATTTAAAGAGGATTTCTGGTTAAAATGTTTTAAACATATTTCACACTTAAACGGTTTACTGGTGGCATGACGAATTAAATAATTTTCATAATTAAAGTTTTTAAAATAAATTTTACTTTTAAATATTTTTTCTGCTGTATGCATTTTCTTGTAATCGTTTATTGCGAACTTTTTTAAGCATTTCAATGGTGATTTGGTTTGTAGATTTTTTATATAATGACGAATAATGAAATGTTCTAAAAATTGCAACCCATTGAGAAAAAATCGTCCGCAATAGAAGCAATCCTCATAGTATTTTCCAAAGCTGCCACTGGGCTGTTTTTCTTTTCCCAATCGCGACCGATCTGAAATTAAGAAAGCTATTTTAAACCTATATTTTAATTGAAAGTATGAATTTTCAAAATAAAACTATGCTAATAGACCATTATACCTACAATGCATTATTACACATTGACTAGAAAATGTGTAGATTAACATCTATTTTTTTACTCACCAACCTTAAACTATGCATTTAGGAAGCCAGGGAATTACTTTTGTCAACGGTGAGGGTAGACATGTTATCTAGATAACATTGGGACAATTAGAAGACGTTTTCTGTCAAATTAAAAATATATTTGATTTATTTTTATTGATTCTGAATTTCCTTATTAAATTTGAAAATGTAATTTAAATAGATATATCTGTAATATCCCTGCACGGCAATGAGCTGATATTAATTAATAATAATAATAATAATAATAATAATAATAATAATAATAATAATAATAATAATAATAATAATAATAATAATAATAATAATAATAATAATAATAATAATAATAATAATAATAATAATAATAATAATAATAATAATAATAATAATAATAATAATAATAATAATAATAATAATAATAATAATAATAATAATAATAATAATAATAATAATAATAATAATAATAATAATAATAATAATAATAATAATAATAATAATAATAATAATAATAATAATAATAATAATAATAATAATAATAATAATAATAATAATAATAATAATAATAATAATAATAATAATAATAATAATAATAATAATAATAATAATAATAATAATAATAATAATAATAATAATAATAATAATAATAATAATAATAATAATAATAATAATAATAATAATAATAATAATAATAATAATAATAATAATAATAATAATAATAATAATAATAATAATAATAATAATAATAATAATAATAATAATAATAATAATAATAATAATAATAATAATAATAATAATAATAATAATAATAATAATAATAATAATAATAATAATAATAATAATAATAATAATAATAATAATAATAATAATAATAATAATAATAATAATAATAATAATAATAATAATAATAATAATAATAATAATAATAATAATAATAATAATAATAATAATAATAATAATAATAATAATAATAATAATAATAATAATAATAATAATAATAATAATAATAATAATAATAATAATAATAATAATAATAATAAACGTCTTTATTATACCAGCAAAACAACATTTACAAAGTATAAATGGCGTAGTCTAGCCAAATGGCCATTCAACTTAACCATATCACAAATCCTAAAACTAACTTAAACCTAACCTACTCTACATTACGCTGAATGTCTACGGATGAATTCAAATTTAAATTAAGAACAAGAATTAAATAAAACAAATAAAATAAATAAAATAGAATATGAATTAAATATTTTCATTTGCTTGGCTACCAAGAAAATATGATTTTAACATTATTTTAAATGAACTAGTACTCAAATATGATTTTAAGTGTGTATTTAGTGAATTGTATACTTTAGCGACATTATAGCTAAATGACCGTTGAAACATGGCAGTTCTATGTCGTGGCATGGCGATAGTATGGCGATTTCGCAAATTTAAGGCATGTGCGTCAATCCTATACGTAATCCGTTCTCTTAAATATAATGGTGAATTAGCTTTTAATAAATTGCTTAAAAATAATAAGAAAAGAAATTTGAACAAAGAATCTATTTTCAACCATTTTAATGAAATAATGTAAGGTGATATGTGGTCATATTTTCTTTTGTTACAAACAAGCCGACAACACGAATTTTGTATTTTTTGTAAACGGTTTGCAGTAGCCCTGTCGAGACAAGGATAGTATACAGAGATGCAGTATGTTATTTTAGAGATTACCAAGCTTTCACATAGGGTTTTTTTCATGTTAAATGTTAAATATTGTTTACTTGCATATAAGAGTCTTAGACGAAAATAACAATTTTTTGACAGAAACATGTTCAACAAATTTTAAATTTTCATCTAAATACAAACCCAAATTCTTTTCACAAGGAGAAAATTTTATTTGTTCACCATTTACCCTAATCTGCATGTCCGATTTAAGCATATTCTTATATATTTTTGGAGAAAACAACAAAGATTTTGATTTTTTAGCATTTAATTTCAAACCATGCCCTTTCACATATTCGCTTATTTTATGCAAATCTTGATTTATGCGGACATTAGCTATTTCATATTCGGAAGGATTAAAATGAAAATATAATTGAGTGTCGTCTGCAAATAACTGTTTTTTGCAAAATTGTAAATATTTAGTCATATCAAACGTGTATAATAGGAAGAGAAGGGGTCCTAGCACAGAGCCCTGTGGGACGCCAGAGCAAATAGATTTTAATTTGGAACATTTACCACCAATAACGACTCTCTGTTTTCGGTCTGTAAGGTAGCATTTGAAGAAATTAAGAGCCATATTATCAAATCCAAGATATTTGCATTTAGATATAAGAAGTTTGTGATTAATCGTATCAAAAGCTTTAGAGCTAGTAAGAGTCGATTGCCAATTTTGAAACATCGAAATATATTCAATTTAGAATCGTGTCACAATCTTCTCTATAGAATTAATTCTAAAGAGTTACAACAATAACAATATACTATTTAGACGTTGTTCAGAGAAGTAGTCACGTCCTTTTTAATTTCGAGATAGATATAATATTCTTTTGACTAACCATTCTCGACTTATTTCATTAGTATTGTATATGAGAAATTATGGAACTTTTTATGTTTTTAGGGTTACATTCGATTTTACGGACAGATGACAGAATAATATATGTTCATATCAAATTAATTTTTTTTAAATTATTTATAAAATTAAAACTCAATCCTTTGTATTTCGTGTAAAAGTTTTAATTGAATTTAGCTTAGCAGAGAGTTTTCGTCTATCGCCTACAACACCGCTAATTGTCTGTTGGAAAATAAACAAAATTTTGTGGTTTGGTAATACATGTTCAAGCAATGTTTTTTTCAGTGATTTACTGTTCGAGAATGGATTTATTTTCTTTATTAATTTCTTAATTTAAATTCGCGTTATCTATTTTGACACTTTGCCCCACCTAAACGGTTCATGCTTTGGACCTTTTCAAAGAATCAAGAGACATCGATGTATCGCCAACAAAGTAACAAGTTCGTTCGCCGTCGCTGAATATTTGTGCCCTTGCTTCATGTGTGCCGCTCGCCGATCATCAGTCCAATATTCCAAAAGGTAAGGTGTCAAATACGTTATTAATTTATTTAGTTTGATTATTTGAATCAGCCCTTTTTGGCAGCATAACATCCGTTCTGTTTTACTATGAAGTCATTCCCTTTCATTTTATTTTATAAAATCACAAATATTCATTTTAAAAAAAATCAGTATTAAAATCAGTTTTAGGTTAGATCTAATAAAAGCTTTAACTTTTTAATTTTCAGAAGTACTTAATTAAAAATATGATTTACAATGTTTTTGTATTTTTTCCGCCACTAAAATGAGCTAAAATTGAAATTAGAATTATTATTTATAGTATTATTTTACGCAAAAAACAAAATAATTGACTAAATTTATTGTGTTCCTAATGTAGAAAGCATTGCACTTCTATTTGTGACGTCATTTTCAGCAGCTACTGCATAAATAGTTGATTGGGTATCTGCAGTTATTTCCTCATTTTCAATATTAGTACTATTATTACTATTATCAGTACTGAGCAAAGAGTTTTAAACAACTCTCTCACGATTGGTGTGTAAAACACTATTATGCTTCTCTTGACAAATTTTTCACCAGCCAAATCTACAGTCTCTAGTTACACGATTAGTGGGCAAGCAATTCTAACAAAGATTAAGTTATTTAACTTTTAAATTTTTAACGTTAGTAAGTAATTCGCTCGTATAGGAAGTATGTTTTTACTGTGAAATAATATATTTGGGGTTCATGTACCTATTTTAGGTAAAATATATAAAAAAATTATTTATTTAATAAAAAATAACTCAAAAAATTAAATTATTATTTTCATTTTCACATTCAAGTTTAGTTTATTTAAATATATCATTTCTAAAGAAGAAGTATAAATTCGTTGAACTTGCAACGTCAGCAGTAAACGCGGTTTATCGAATTACCTGAACAAGCAAAGTGCATGAATCCGAACTTTTATTATAAAATATTAGGAATAAATGATCACTTGCTTTTGGAGAGCCGTACGAGTGCCATCCCTCTCAGAATGTATCCCCTGGTAAGTACCTAGTGCAAGTATATTTTTTATAATAATAGTTTCTTTTGTGAACATATAATTTAAATTAGTGTTATATTTTATTGCAAAGCACTATCAGTATAACTACAATTAACTCCTAGCAGTGGCGGTTTGTTGTAATCCCTCAAAACTTCTTTGAAATGTTGATATTAAAAGGGACGATCCATTTTAATACAATTAAATTCCGAATTTTTTTGTAAGATTCCTGAGTCAAGAAAATATTGCTTAGATGATCCATTACTATGTTTTTATTTCCATAACTACCAGGTCTGTTTTTTAGTTTAGCGTCATTGATACTTCAAGTCTATTAGCGAGTAAAACATAAAAATGGTTTATTCTATTCAGGAGAGAGTAGAAATTGTTGAATGTTATTTAAAAAATAACGAATGTGCTAACACTGCCTGTACAATTTTCAATGAGCGACACCCAAACAAACAGGTTAAACGTAAGTACGTTTTGGAACTTATTTCAAAATTTCGACAAACAGGATCTGTTCAAAATAAAAAACGGCAGATTCAAAATCCAGTAAGAAACGAAGCCGTATAGGTTGCCGTTTTAGGACAAGTTGTTGCAGATCCAACTCTTAGTACAAGAAAGCTTGCAGAATTATCTGGAGTAAGTGACCGTACCGTCAGAAGAATTTTGAAAGCCAACAAATTCCATCCCTATAAAATTCATTTAGTTCAGGAACTTAACGAAGACGATTTTGATCGCCGCTTGCCATTTTGTGTAATTATGAGCGAGCATGCTATACAAGATCCACATTTTCTTTATAACA